GACATTGGGACGCCAAGAAAGAAATCGTTTCGAAGTTGCCGGAAGTGGCTGAAAGACGCCACTCCCTTTCAGCCAAAATGGTGTGCACGACAAAAAGCGGAGGATAGGTCTTCGGGAACGCGCGGGGGCTGGTCTCCCTTTCCAAGACCCGAGTCCGACAACATTGGCGGTGTTTTCGTCGTCGCTGGCCGGTTGAACCCGTGCCGGAAACCACGGGCGCGCCGGCGCCGTAACGGGAGGGAAATGAACGGCCAACGATGACGTCCGATAGCACGGACAGTTGAGAGCATTCGACTGAAGTATGGCGGTCTAGGGTAATAGGCCTCGTTTAGAGAAACTCTACAGGCTCCGCTTGAAAGAGCCAGAGGATCGAGTTCCTCTCGCCGCCAACTCCGTACTGGCGGAGAAGCGGTCACGTGCGCAGAGCTGGATCCAACTTTTGTGCGGGAAAGTAACCTTAGAGGCGCCGAATTCCGGCGGAGCACTTCACTCGCTTTGCGTTTGCGAACTACACTCAAATCGAAAGAACTGAAAGGTTCTTTGACCATTGAACATTATGCGTAACCACTGGGTACAGTATAATCGCGTTGTTTTATAACGAGATGAGGGATGTTTTCAAACGTGTTTCCTTAGTCTGGGGAAGCAGACGACACGGAGGACGATCCCGTTGCTCGCTTCTGCTGCGCTCGCGGAGTGATACGTGACCGGCACATCTTCTCGGATTACACAACAGGTCGCAGCTATGCGGCGTGTGAAGGGACGACGTTTTCGTCGGCCACTGAGTTCTACCGAGGGCGTGGCAAGATACAGGAGACAAAGGACGGGACAAAGGCGCACGCCGCCTCACAGCCGCGCCATCCGCGCCTTCGGGTCTCCTGCAGAAAGTACAGTCGCTTCCCGCAATGCAGCTTGGATCCAGTATGGCAGCCCTGGGAGCACCATTGCGATACTCTGCTCCGCAAGCGAAGCATATACAGTTACTATAACCGATGATGATGAGGAGGATGGTATGCGCGCCCCCTTTCGGAGGTTGCGCCAGCCTTCTTCCGTATACCTCAAACATGGCGACCTCGCCATGCTACTAGATAACACACAATTATGTAAAGAGTAAATTAAGTTGGATGACGGTTTTCTTTCACATGTTGTGCACATGCAGTTCAAGTCGCCAAAGAAAACAAATTACTTTTGTGGCAATTTTAACGTGAAATGTTCTTTGGATAGCTGCTCCGGATTTCGTGAAATCGTTACCTGTGACGTCATATGCCTCCAGTGTCCCCGCTAGATTTAGCGGAAAAATTGACGTCACGTCACTTCAACACCAATTCAGTTTCCCCGCTAAATTTAGCGGAAAAAATGACGTCCCATGACTTCGTGTCACGTGAACTATACAACACACGTTCAGTTTCTCCTCTAGATTTACCGGCTAAAGTGACGTCACCTGACCTCAACGCCAACTGGAAAATGATGTCGCATGATTTCATGTCCCGTGACCTAAACACAAATTCCCTTTCTCCGCTAAATTTAGCGGCGAAACGGACGGGGAAAGTCAGTGGGGTGGAGAAGCGTGCAGACACCTGGAGGCTCAGCTCGAGAAGAAATGCCCGGATGGTACTGGCGCTAAACCAAGAATCTTTCACGTAGCAACAGAATTGCGGGGCAACGTTTTGGCTACGTCAAGGAGGCTGACGACAATGGGATCCCCAAGGCAATCTGTGGGACGTTAAATATGGTAAAAGGGGGGTAGTGACCCTATTAAAAAGCACTTAGAAACAACACTTGGTACTTATAACACGGGAAGAGAGTAGAACAGAGCCTAATGAAGTAAATCGAGGTTTTAAACAGAACACCCTTTGTCCGTCGCCTTTACTCTCGACGCTGTACTCACGAGAATTAGAGGGGGGCCGAGAAAATCTGGCTGTATTGAGCAGTATTTACCGGGACTAATGCGTGCAGAGTGCATAATGCTAATGACTGGCAACATAGTACAGTTGTTTTTTTTCATTGTAGGCTTTACAGATTGTTCTAAGAAAAAGTCGTGAAAGCTACACCACTGCGTCCTGTGCAGGTGCGCTATACGGACAAGGGGACATAGATTAATAGAGGGGGCTAAGCGTCACGATAAGTCGAATAATTAACTACAATTTGTTCATTAACTTTTTTATGTAATGAAAATAAACATGTGGTTTCAAATAGACATTTTCTGGGCGTCATCGAGGACAACTCAATCACTAAATTTTAGAACGACAGGGAGCGCGTTGGAAGCGCGGTGGTGCCCTAAGACTACAACTCGAGCTACAAGCGCAAGGCTGACGGTGCAGAAAATAAGTTTCCAAGTGGAACAATAGGTTTATTTTTAATAATAAAAAGTTAATTAACGAATGGTAGCTAGTTGTCCCACTTATCGTGACGATTAACTCATTGTATTATCTCCCCCTGGCAGTTTAACTCGCCTGCACAAAACGCAGTAGACAAACTTTTACGGTTTTTGTTTTTTAGGACGATCTCTAAAGATTAGAAGAAACACCTTGTATATTTCGAGAGGTTAATGAACATCGGCGCTATAGCAAATGCTCAGGTCCGGAACTCAGTGGGGAGATATTGACGATAAGAATGTTTAACGGTGACGAGGATAAAGAGCTAAGGCTACGAGAACTTACGGTTCGAAGTGTACACTTGGTTCAGTTGTACGAATCTTTGTATCACGCTCCCTTTATGTAAACCCCCAAAAGGCCTTTAGGGTTAAAGTAAATAAATAAATATGAGTAAAAAAAGACCAAAAATAGCTCGCTGAGCACTAAACATATACAACTAATGAAAGCCACAGGAATGCAGCTGCATTGAAGGATAGAGCGCCGTGGAAATACAGTGTAGCTATACACTGGTAAGATCTATTGAAAGGGGTCGTGGTGCAATCTGACTTTTGGGAATGCAGTCGGGATGCGTAAAACTCGAAGCCCAGACAAGGCTCCAAATTAAGCATCGCGGGGTCTGGCACTGTAGGCTCGGCGCACACGGGAAACCTCCCAGTCGGACTGAACAGGAGATGGACATCATTGGACTGTCGGCACAAAACGGAGGAAAAGAAGATAGCCAAAAGTTTGTGGGCAATATTAAAGGGATACTACAACGACACTTTGGCACTTATTTCCTCGGTCTTTGGTGTTCAAATAAGCGGTATGACATGGGACACCCAATCTCTCGTTGAAAAGAAAAAAAACACGAAATGGAATTTTAAAACGAATTGAACGATTAGCAAATGGCGCCTGGTGGATGTCGCTAGAGCCTCGGCTGTAATGTCAGTCTAGGAACATTGGTAGGTAGTGACGATGCCTGTATCGCCATAGCCTCACTGATTTTCCATGCGTGCATGCATGTGCAGCGTGCGCGTGAACGTAGCTTTCTCAAGCTTGTAATTGCACGCACTTGCCCGCACGAGCATGGCGGCGGCCAGATGTCCTGCTGGCAATCATCTTGTCGACGTTAGCCACGCCGCAGCTTTGCTCGTCCCGAGACAAACTACGTCACGATTGCAACGGATGTGTCGTGCCCTCCGCTGACTGCTCTCCGGGCGTTTGCCAGAGTGGACCGTCTAGAATGAAAAATACAGCCACCAGGCTCAAAATACAAACGTGCGATTGTCATTTACGGATACTGTCGATCATATTCAGCCTATTTCTGAACACGACGGGTATATTTCAAATTTCGTTGAAGTGTCCCTTTAAACAGATCAGAAAATGTCAGTTACGCGAGGTAAGGCAACAGAGAGGGGTATGCGGGAGAAAGGAATGCAGGCTTAACCCGCCTTGAAGACTCGCAAATTGTTCAAGACGCGCCAGAGAAGCGATACGACGGGTCCATATCCCACGAGCGAATGACGTTTTAGCGAAGAGCGCCATTTGATGGAATCGACGTTTTAGCGAAAGAGGGGGGCGCGTGTGAACCCCCCCCCCCCCCCCGTCCCTTTCATTACAAAGATTTTTACCCACTTGGCCCACCCGTAAACGCCGCTTCGCGGCGGCCGGCCATTCGCTAAGGTATCTTTCGATCAAAGTCGGCGTTCGCAAGGCAAAGCCACAATTTGGTATCTTTGCGATGTTATCGGACAGATATCGGTCTTCTGAACGCAAACTACACGTAACACTGAGTCCGTGCAAGGTCGCACACAGTATCCGGGCGGAGACAGCAGCTTTTCAACCAAACGCTGCATTTTCCTTCGTGCTTCTTTTACCGCGGCGTTCCCTCCGCTCGCTGCAGGAAAGCAAACGCACGACGTTCACTTCCCAAAAGCGCTTTCACTTTCGGCTCGGCAGTGAAGTGCGTGTTGTAAAAAGAACCTCGTTTACAATGTCTCGTTGATTCAATGATATGTTATCGCGGACACGATGAGATGTTCCGTGTGTGGGCGCAGCAAACACGGTACCGTAGCATAGCGTAATATTTCGGCACAATTCCCGAGTGCTTATGGTGGGAGGACGGCTCCCTATATCGGGTGGCAGCGGTCAGTTTTCCGGCTTCACACATTGAACGTACTTCGAAACTTGGAAGCTCGTGAGAAGGAAAGTGTCCCCCGCCTAAGTGAGAGACGTATCTTTGTCAGGGACTGAAGTTTCTCGAACTTCGCGCAAATCAAAATAGAATCCCCAAAGATGCCGCCGATGCAAGGGGAATAATGATCAGCTTATTTCCGATCGTGAAATAGGCCCCAACACCGGAACGAGCTAACATTATTAGGCCGATGAGATCGGCAATCTCGATTGTGTGTAATGAAGGTTGCAAAAGAACTGCGAAAGCTCAACATCAGTATGCGCTCAGCATTCGCGCGTACATCTATGACTGCCAGTGAATATACTGCCTTCAGCGTCAGTATCACCCTACTCTTAGCGATGGCATACTTATCTCATATTCTCGAGCTCCTAGTTTTGTGCACTGGGTGCATCTAATTTTCGGGCAGCTTTGGTCGAGTCGGGCGCTGTCCCCGAAGAAGGCCGGAGGCGACTCACCTCTTTGCGTATTCCGGGGAAGACGATGAGGAAGGCGAGGAAAAGCGTGGAGAAGCTGACGTAGATGATGATATTCCGTATGTCCTCAGTGACGGCGGTGCGGTTGGACGCGGCGTACAGGGTGGGACCGCCTTCGGTCCTGAAGGCGTCGAACCATCCTTTGAGCATGGTGCACAGCGGATCACTGGGGGGGGCGCGGAGCACACACGGGGGGGCCTGCCGGAGCGCGGGGCGGCAGGCCGGAGGCGCGGGAGCGTGTCGCTGGCTGGCCGCCTGGGAGCTCACTGGCGACGCGGGGCTGGCGCCAAGGTCGCCGCGGGCATCCCGAAGGCGGCAATCGGCGCCGGCGATCAGCGGCCGCTGCACTGCTCCGGTGGGGGTGTCGAGCCCCCCTCGCCGGATCGGTGTCAAGGGCCTTTGTTTTGCGCCTGTCCTTGGGGCGACCAATGGAGAGCCGCTGCTGTTCCGGGCGTCCCTGCGCGCCCGAACCGGAGAGCCTTCGCTCAGTCGGCGCCCAGCGGCCGCCTCGCGGGCCCGGCACCGGGGGCCGCCATGGACGAAAGCGAAAGCGACTCGTGCGGCGCCGCTCGCCACGGGGGCGAAACTGAGAGGCCCGTCCGGCGACCCCTCCCGGGAGCGGCGGCGGCGGCGCTTGCCGCGCTTGGCCTACTCCCGCCGACCGACGCACCTCTGACCCCCCGGGGACACGCGGGGCGCCCTGGCAGAGCCTCGCTCCAACCCCCCAGCAATGGACCTCCCCAGGGGGGACGAGGGAAGAGTGTTCCCCAATACGCCCGCCGAATAAAGCCCCCGCTGCTCATCTCTCTCTTCTCGACATTTCAGACTTTTGTCGATGAAGCATAGACAGAAAAAGAGTCGCCTCCCAACACGACAGCCCGTGTTTTGCACTTCGGCCAAACACAGGTCACAGCCTCACTTGTTGTAACGCGTGCCTCCTTTCTTCGTATGGGCCTCGAGCGCCAAGTTGCGTGAGACGGGTGGCGCCGGTTACGGCGACCTTTGTGTCAACTGCTGCGGAATCTGTCCTTGGCACCACCGTTGTGATCAAGCGCAACCTGTGGAGCTGCTATCGGCTTGCTGTTACGTGGTAACTCTCGGAAGCGGCCATGGTACCCGGGCTACCTTTCGCCGCAGCTCTCGCCTGCATGCGCTTCCGGAGGTCTACGGGACACTCTGGCTCAGCTCCGGCAGCGAGACGTCGCAAGGCAGGCCCCAGGATTCCGCGGAATGGTGGCAGACAAGGCAGTGCAAGGGCATCTTGGGTGGTCATCCTTGGAGGCCAGGTAAGCGACAAGCGAGATCGAAAACGACGGCTGACTGCGATTCACGGATCGAAGTCGGTGAACAAAGCGACTGTTTGGTAGGCATCCACCTGTCAGGTGGAAGTGTACCAAAGCGTAATAGCAAAACAACTTTACAAACTGAAAAAAAAGTGGCTTATTTTGCAGTGCTTGTGGTTACCGATCAAGTCAGAAAATGAGAAAATGAAGATGGGAAAAAGAGTACGCGAGGAAGATGCTCTACAGTGGGCAGAGGGGGTTTTCGCTCAGTCAACCCTGCGTGTGACCAACCTCCGTGAAAATTCGATATCAGAAGATGGCGCTTTGTCTGAAAACAGCCTGTGTAGCTGCCTCCTTTTTGAAGCACAGGGCCGCAAGAGGATAAAGACCCCACACTGACAAGGATTTGAACCGATGGTGGAGTCGACGACATACCACTCTTGCGGGGAAACAGGTGAAAACATAGAGCACATTGTACTCTCATGCCCAAGTCTACATACAGGACATCCGGCGAAGTGCTGGAAAGCGCCAGACAACGAACTGAAAGCTGGCCAGGCCCTACCACACGACCGACTGCTGGCTGAAGCACTCGGCTTCCAAAAGCCTGACGGGGTCAGTGCTGAACGCAAGCATATACAGGGATGCAGCGGGTAGCCCTCGAACCTCTTTTTCCTTTATTTGTTTGCGGATTTTTTCCGCGTAGCGGGGGGGGGGCAGAGATAAAGGCATGGTGCCTGACGGAGCTTCTGCCCCCCCCCCCCCCCCCCCCTTTATATCTCAGCAACACGATATATACAGTTCACAAAATCACAAAATAAGAAACAACTTCGAGTGCAGAACGCTCTGTAGTGAAGGCCAGTGGCCAGAGGAGAGAGGTAGCCAATGGAATGAAGTGGAGGCTGAAGAATTGGTGTCGAACAACGAAAACAAAAGTTTGTTAATATGTTTTTATTTTCTGCTTAGGCATGAACTCGCTTCGGAACGGCCCTATTCAAAGGGAACAGCGACAGTATTATCATCATCATTCTCAACCGAAGCTCGGTAACCTATAATGTAACTTCTATACCGGAGAAACCTATAAAATCAAAGTTACAACGGCAGTCCTTTTCGTGATTAAATTAGTTTTGTAAAGGCTCTAAAAACAAGGGCTTCTGGAGAACCTGAAGGTATAGGCTACCTCGGGATAACTGCTTCGCTGGTAACTTGTTTCCCGGTGCTGAAATGTGGTCGTAGTCGACAAGAACTATCGGCGCACGCAAATTTGGGTGCATTTTGGGTGACTGGATTCTCTATCGTCTCCTGAGGAGTGATTGTCCAAAGTTATTTTCCGAGCTTCTCTGGTGCGAATTCTAGTCTGTGGGAACATAATGGTATATGGTACGGCTTCAGCTTCATGTTCATGTCTGGGGCGAAGACCAGTTCGGTTGTGTCCGGCGTTTTCCGTTCCTATGTGCCCGCATATGTTATCTAAATTCCTGCCTTCGCCGCTGTCACGTTTTGTGTTTATATTACATGAGAATCATGTTTTGCCGGGGCTGGCAGAAAATCGTATTAGCATCTAAAAATTCATCAAAGATTTTTTCTCCTAAGATTTGTGATTTGCTACGGCATAGTTACAGGTGCTTCTGTCGGTATTGCACGTTTTTTTACTATTCACTGGGTTTGGCAGAATTTGATAGCACAAGGACATCAAAAGATAATAAACATAATAATAGCTTTGATTACCATATAAATATGGTGGGAGCTGAGGAAAAGAAAGCTGTCTAAGCAGCTTGACTGCTCCTCAGCCCCCTCACAGGTATACTGCGGTTACAAAAGCATACACAAGAAATGATATAAACCAAAAAACAATAAAAGCAAAGAGCAAAAAAAAAAAAAAAAACAGCTACGAGGGAAGCAGTGTAATCATATAATTACTTTGAGAGAAAATATCTTCTAATATCACACATGCTACAGGATTCTATATCGAAATTAGACCGGATCATGTTGTTGAGAAACGTTGGCAGTTTTCTTTGAATCATTTGTAAACCATATATAGTACGAGATGCACCTACTACCCAGAAACCGGAATGGCTAGTGGAATATGTTATAGGCTTGTTTCTGAGGAATGCTAAGGCCTATCAAAAAGCTGTTTATATCCCGATATTCCTGTTTATATTTTACACACATCCTAAAATCATAGTATTGAACTACATTCAGAACACCCAGCCCAACCAAATTTCGGTAATATGAACATTATATGGCACGTTGCATATGATCCTTAGCACTATTTTCTGCAGCAAAAATAGTTTTTGCAGATTAGTTTTTGTGGTGGTACCCCAGACAATAGTTGAGGCGAGATAAAAATAATGAGTTATATAAAATCAGCTTAACTCCAATAGGAAGATCATGACAATGTCTATGTAACACACCAGTTATACTGGCAAGTTTAGAAAATAAATAGTCCACATGTTCGGTCCAATACATTTGCTTTGAGAAAATTACCTTCAAAATTTAAAATGTGTTTACTATTTCGATTGGAGAGGAGTCTGCGTGTCGCTTGTCAGGATGATATTCCTATTTCTGGGGCTGAAAAAGGTCGCCTTAGTTTTTTTCTTTTTTTTAAATTTATGATAAGATTATTTGAACTAACTCATTTTTCTAGACATTTTATGGTTTTATTAGAAACACAAGAAATTTCATCGCAATTTTTAGCTGATAAGCAGAGGCTGGTGTCGTCAGCCTAAATATTAAACTTTACGTTTTCTGCTATGTTAACGATATCATTGATGCATACATTAAACAGTAGTGGCTCCAGTATACTGCCTTGTGGTACTGGTGCCCCGTTAGACGTGCAGTAGCATATTTATTTGTTCTGGCGCAACGATCCCTAACCCCCTTTCCCCTCCACACACACATACACACAGACACACCTACACACACAAAAAAAGGGTTTTGTCTGCGGATAAAAACAAAAAATAAAAACATACTCGATAACAAACTAAAAAAAATACTCCAGATGGGATCAAGGGTTCACCGACAATGAGTGGTGGACCTAGTTTCGAAACAAACACCGGTGAATTGATGCGGAAGCCGCGATATGTGTGTGAAGTGTTCTCCACTGTGCTTGTGATTTGTGCTCGTAAATATTAGGACGCGTACGGCAGACGTTTGTGAAGGCTGGATCGAAAAATTTGTCTTGGTTTATACCTCACTTGCACATTTTTATGCTTTCTCTTATTAGCCATAAATGAAGAATATGACGCGAGAGAGTGAGAGAGTTTGTGGGTGACAACAGTTCAATTCCAGCTTTTGTTGGTAAAACTGCATACTCACTATAACGAATTGTTTGGTTCAAGAGCGTTGTACGGTAGTTGATACCTATTAATAAAGAATTATGGATTTATAAAAAAAAAGAGAAATATTGCTTCGTGAATTTATGCAGATTTTACGCCTGCTCTTAACCTAGGAATATTTATATTTTACGTGTGTGGCACGAGCGGCACCATTACACACTTATATTCGTGTGTAGGGGTGCCCCATGATGAATGTTAATTTTCTTCATATTTGAAAGCCCCACAGGCTTAGTGAAACATTTTCTTTGTGTTAGTTTTTCAGGTAGAAGTGCCGGGTTCTCTTTGCCGGCCCTCGCTTTTATAGCCGGCCACCGAGAAGATTGCTGCTCATGATGGAAGGTCGGGAGAACTCGCACCCGGACTGCTTTGTCTACCCGCGAGGAAGACATCCTGATGTATCATGCAGTCTATTACGTCACCAACTTGAGCCACCATCTCTAGAGGGGCACTGACACGTCAAAATCATATTTTTTTTATTATCCGAAACGATAGAAAACGATGCCTGGACATTACCCTTAATATTCGAAACTTGGGAATTCAGCATTTGTTAAATAAATAAAAAAAGAACAATTTCCAAATGCCGAATTTGAAGTTCCCGCGCAATCAGCGCCAGTGCAGTGACGTCAAATATTGAGCGGCCCTGCGAGTCGACTTTCTTTCACGACTCCGCTCTGAATGTGTGTGTGTGTGCCTCCAGTCCTCCACGATCCGAAGCGAGGAGGTGAGGAGCAGCAGAGAAGGGCGCCGGCAAAAACCGGTTCCCTCCGTGCCGTGCCGCCTGCCTATCGCTGCGAACAGACGACGCTTGACGTCTCGCCGCTTCTGCGTGAAAGGCTGCCCCGGTGCAGTCACAACCGAAACTACGATACAGACACCAAATCCAGTTGTTCTGACCGTTTCACGATTTCCTTTTTGAAGTCTCAGGGGTCGTCGGGCACCGAAAATAGACCACTTCGTCCGATTC